ATGGTAACGTTACAAGAATATGGTTTTATTTATTATTTTTTAAATTGAGCGTTTTAATTAGGAAGTTTTTGTAATCTTTTGTATTTTATTAAAACCAGACATTAATTCAACTATTTTGTGTGTTTTAAATATATAATTTTCAACCATCAGATATTTTTTATCTAACTATTTAAAGAAGTTTAGGGTAAAAATCTGAAGATATTTAGGTGTTCAATTGTGAGAAACTTTATGAATTTACTTAAACTTTATTACCAAAAATTAGAGATACCGACCTGAAACTTTGAGTAGGTTTCATTCTTGCTTTCCTAAAAAGCCTACCTTTATTTTTTTTAATGTAATTCTTCATTTCGCGAGCTTATTTTCTTGGTAGGTATCTTTTTATCTACTTTTCTATTTTGTAGTTTAGTAGTGTAGTTTTATACATTCGTATTTTTATGGTTCTGTTCTGGTTTATAAAATGAAAGTGTACATAGACCACTACATCTGGTAAATTACTAGTTCACATAGAAATGCATAAAATGCATAATTTAGGATACTTCATTACAATTTAATGGTTTGATTATATTGGCATTACACAGAACTACTTAATGATAATTTACTGTGTTTTAATAATAATGTAATCGTCCAATAAAAAGCTAACATGTATAGAAATAGCAATAAAAGTTATTTTTATATGTTTTACGGTAATTAATGGCACGAATTGAAAACAGTATATTATTATTAATTGGCAATAATTATCGCGTTCACAGGCCTTTTATATTTTTAATTGTGTTTAATTTTATATTTTTTATTCGCTGTTTAGTTGTTCAATTTATTGGTTCTTGTCACCAACACAATTATAAATTTTAGAAAGAAGATAATTAATACTTTAATAGATTGTCTTAATGCTTATTTTTGGTGAAAAATAATTGTTAACTATTTACATTATCTATTAAAACTGAGACTGTTTTCCTTTATAAAATCAACGCATTTTATTTTTTCACAAAACTTTAAACACACCGAAAAGTTATGAACTGGGAAACCTTCCTTAATATTTTTTAAACACTTAAATATGAAAGATCACAAAATATAATCAATTATGTTGGTTACTTCTTGCTAAACCTTGCACCACTTGTGTCTTTAGTAATTAAGATTTTCTCATTCCATAAGTCGTTTTCAGAAAAACAAAAATTTCGAGGCATAAAAATAATTATTACGTTAAAAATTAATCACCTCGAGTTTAATTTTGTGGTTAATATCATGGGCTATCGTTAAAGGTACGTAATAAACCTAGCTTCGTCGAGATTACATCTTAATGAGGATTTGAATTTGTGTTTTAATTTAAAACTCTACTGTGATTTTTAAACGTCAGCTAATGGGATTATTACGCCTACCCAATTTTTTAAGGACTGCAAATTTGTTTTATTTTAGAGGTGATATAATTGGAAATGATCTCAGGCATGATCTAGACTCTAGATTCTAGAGCTAAGAGTAGGTATTAAGTTTTCAGACAGATATTATTTTGAGGATTTTCGATTGTAAGATATCATGTAAATTAGGCACTGCTTGCCTTTTAGTACCGTACCGTAAGCCTCCATTCTTACCTGAGTTTGTATTTCAAACTCTATTATAGTCTGTATATATATGCTTTTAAGTCTAGATCAAATTGATACTACGATAAAAAATATTCTTGCGTGCTACGGAGGGCATGTAAAACTTTAAGCAAGACGTAGGTCTTTATTTTGAGTCACTTCAAACCGTTTTGAAAAGGAATAAACATAACATAAGGCGCTCTTAACTTTAGTCGTAGCCTAAGAAATTGGTTTCATGTTAATCTGTTAAGTAGATAACCGATGTTAGTCGTATTGGGCGCATTAATTTTCTAAGTATTGAGCGGCAAATGCAGCAATGAGGCGGAGTTAAGCTAAGGTTAGTTTGTGACCGTTATGAAAATCATAAGAGAAGTACTAAATTAGAACTTATTATAAAGACTATAAATTCTCTAATTTCAGGTCGATTTTATCAATTTTGATCGGAAAATGGTTATAAAACAGTGAACTTTTAAAATATTTTTGAAAAAAGAACTGTTTTCTTCCTCAGTTTTTACGGTTTCTGGGAGAATGAGTAGTGTGTATTTTAGTTAGATTTAATTTCGTATCAAAATTCAAAAGTTTGAAAAAGGAATGCCAGATTTTTAGTAGAAGTAAAAATAGTTTGATTATAAAAAATAACTAGGTACAACAAGTGTTTTGTAATTTTTATTCTGAGAACTTTGAAGTTTATTATCACTTTCAAAAGCAATTTCATAAATGGTCGATAATTTAGAGTAGGTACCTTCATCTTTACCGCTCAATTAAATTAAACAAATACATACATTTGTTCCTTGTTTAGAAGCGAAATGTCGTTCGAAAGCTGCACCCATCGATCAGTGAACCGGAGCAGGCAACGAACCACTCTATTAATCCTGGACCAGCGTTTCATTCCACTAAGCCATCGGTACAAAATACGATACTGTTGTTGAACGATTCAATTAGAGGATAAGTTGTTATGGACTTAGAAATTGTATGTAATTGATAACTACCTACTGGTATAATAAATATTTGTACGAAATATAAATTTATTATTGTAATAATACGCGTTTATCTACCATACTAAAGAATACTAAATACAAATACTGAAAGAAAGCTTATATATAAATGAGTGTGGCAACGTTCATTCTAATTCGTTTAGGCATTTTTGAGAACCTATTTAGTAAGAGAATTCAGTTGTTACTTCCTAGATATCTCGCTGCAGATGCTATTTCAATTGCATTCTTTTATTGAATTTATAAAATTGCATTTGTTTTTAACAATACACTTACAGTTTTCAATATGATCAAGTATTCAATAAAATTTTGTATATTTTTCCAATAAGATTCTGGAGAGACTAACCACTATAACTCACTAACACTGATTTATTATTTAATAATTATTTTAGTATACTGTCTGTCAAATTTTCAATTGTTTATTCAAATATGATATTATATGGTTCATAGAATACAAACCAAGGGAAATCACAAAACTAAAACAAATGTGATAAACACAGAGCAAAATAATGCGATTAAAATCTATGATAGCCGTAATGTTACCACTGGGACGCAGCCATCATCGGATATTTTACGTTATGTGTTCTGTTACCATCATATTGCGATTATCGCATCAATTTTTATAACTATGTATATTTTAAAGACTGAAAACCATTGAAAAAGCGGCTGACAGTTGACTGAGTTTCTTGCGCTGCTTCTTCTCAGCACTGGCCCATTTATTGTCCCGAAGCAGTGGTAGGGTTAATACTGGGACTTGTCAAAGTATTTTTGAAAAGGCTACTTGCAAAAATAAAAGAGTTATGAGTTTTTATTGCAGGTAAATGATAAGTAACCATAGATAAAACTTATATTTAATTTGATTTCTTTCAATAATGTCAGATCTTAAAGTACTGAAATGATATTTACTAAAAATACTCAACTAATTTTTATTATTTATTGTATTTTCTTTCCACTAAATAAGCAATCAATAAATTGTGGTTGAATAAGAATAATGCAGTCAATTACTTCATAGAATCTATTAAAAAAATGGCATCGTTTAAAAAGATCAATGCCAAGCAAATCTACTGCTTGATTATTTTATTACAATAAAAGTAAATGATCAACTTCCAAATAAAAATTAGAAATCCTATTTAAACTTACTATAATAGAAGCTTTAAAATTTATATGAGGAGACCAACCACTGCTACTATGCTGCTTATATTAATGTTATCGATCCCCTATAAAATTTCCCGAGATACTATAAAAGTATTGTTTATTCATATAGCCAGTCATTTCCTAGTTATTATGCCTTCATAAGGTGTAATGTATACTCACCTATTACATTTTTTAACACCATAAAACCAAAAGCCATAAAATTCTGAGTGTTTTAATGTCTGCCTTGCTATATTTTCAATATCATTTTACCGTTATAAGTTTAGAACGTGTAAGCAGTTATTATTATAGGATTTATACGTATTACCAATACCACAGTTCGTGAAAGTACTCGGTAAAAAATATGAATGCGTACAAAACAAATACACAGTAATTTGCTTCAACCGGTGGTTTCTGTAACGTGTAATTTTGTTGAGATTGGCCGTATAAAAACGTTTGATTACTTTTATACTGACGTGGAGGTACTGTTAGTGACCATTTGGCATAGCGAACGCTCCGATAGGCGCGTTTGAAATGCGGAGGTTAGTTTATGGTTATTGTGTTGTATGTATTGTGTAGAAGTTTGTATTTAGATGATATTCTAATTCTTACTAATTTTCTTTGTTGCTGTTAGCTTAAAATGATCTGATAATGAAATTCAAACTATTTGAAATAAATAAACAATAACTACTCGTAACCAAGAAGAGCTGAATTGAGTTTCAAGGAACAAGAGACTACATTTCTATTTAAAGTTTTGCCAAGAAACTGTTATGGTCCTGCGTCTCATTCATAATTCCAAACAAATATGGAGATTGAATCTAAATTATGAATACTAGCGGGTCACTCTCGCAGTCACAAAGTTTTCACATTAAACACTTTTATCTGCGGCGTCTACAACGGGAGCCAGCGCATGCGCGGCGGCGAAGGACCAAAGCACTTGTTTTCTTTCAAAAAATACTATCATCCTCAATACAGACGTCTGGCCACCAGTATCCGCGCCGAAGACAAAGATCTGCCACTGGAGAAAAATAAAAACATCCAACATCCGTCATCCCATAGCGGTACACACGACTCGGCGTTCCATCCGAGAAGAACTGAGTAATTTTGATTAGGTACAGAAAATCCGAGCGGAGGAAAACTCTCATGTAATTGCCGCAGGAGCGTTGAAAAAACGCGCACGACCGTGTGTGGCGAGCGCGCGCGCGGTGTGGCGGCGGCGGGCGGGCGGCGCGCGCGGCCCGCGGCCCATTGGCCGGCGCCGGGGGGCGGGGCCACGCCTGCCCGGGCCCGCGCGCGGCCCGCGCCAGTGTCCGCCAGACTGCCGAGCGCGCCGGGCCTCCCGCTTCCCCGCGCCTCGCTCGGCCACGCCGCGTACGACTCTACCAAACCTCAAGTTCGCTACCGTCGCGAGTGCACTATGACACTAGTGAGCTAGCGGGCCGCTGTGACGGTGTCAATAATCTATGTGTATGTGTTCACGTGCTAGTGTGTTGTGTTAGGTTGGGCCCGTGACGAAAAACGTTCGTGGTGGCCAGCGGAGCCTTACACCCGGGCTCGGGGCGAGCTTTCATGGCTCAGCCTAGGGTACGTACCATCACACCGTAGGTACACATGTGACACCCGATTCGAGTAGCCGTAGTGAAGTCGATGGCCTAGGCGATAAATCTCAATTAGACGATAGTGGAAATAAAGAAGTTGATAATGGACGGCTAAAACATGATGCTAGTGATAAATGTGTCAAAATAGTACAACACGGTACAGTTGTAATTGATGAGGTCGATCAAAGTGTTTGTGTTAGTTAGGTTGTTGTTTTTGTCGACGGAAAGGAGTTAGGCGTTGGAGCTTAGGACGGTGCGGTTGTAATTTCAATAGTAAATCAAAATAGAGACATGTCTAAATAGGAGGCGATCCATTATCCAGGCCCAGCCTGGTAGTGGTAGTAACAAGCGGCGCGCGACGGGAATACGTAATGACGCGGCCGCAGCCGCTGCCGGCACATTACCGGTGATAATGAAAACGAAATGGACGCGTTACAAATATAAAATAAACCAATGAGCAGTAATTAACACCTCAAAAACGACAGTGTTGATGAGAAAAATACTGAAAAAGTTGTAGGCGAAGTAAAAACAGTTGCCGATGGACAGGATCGAAGTAGGCATTCGTTTCAAAGTGGCGTTTGACCAGACATGGTAATGGCGGGGAATAAATTGCGACCGGCCAGTGAATAAATGAATGAGTCTCCATATATTGGACACCTGACGGAATATAACTTTGTTGAAGCGTTCGCGATAAATGGGATAAAATGGCAAGCAGCGGGGGGCTATTGTGCGGCCCCGGGCTGCTCTCTTGGGCCGGGACACTCGCGCAACAAGCGGCTTTGAACGCACGGTTAGGCACAAAAGACCAACTCACAAACCGACAATAAAATTCAATTGACAATGAGCAGGAAAAAAACTTTTTGTACCCCAAAGATGGCCTAACGGAACACGGGGACAACTTTCTAAAGATTTAGGGGACGTTTTGTTTTTGCTTAGGGAATGTAATTTTTAATCCTCCCTTTGTTTGACATAAAATTGTCATTGGTAAAGTACCAAGTTTTGTCATTTAGGAAAAAGATAACAATGTTAAATTTTTGAAACGTTCTGAAAATTGCAATAAATTCATCTAAGTAAATCTTTCGAATAAATTAAGTTAAGCGTCTTGAATATTTGGGATATAAATTATCCCACAAGTAGAGTAAATACTCCAGACTATTGAAACTCATAAAGACCGTAAATCAATATTAATTGCATAGTGATTAATGCGGCACGATAAATTGACAACACTAAGTGGAGAAAACCGCGGGCTGTATCTAGGAAATAAAACAAACTATTGTTTACAATAACAGACACTTATCTATTGCTGAGACATGACAATTATTATGAAAGCGATTATAATGAGTATGCGCATGTTACCCAGATATATCAATCAAATATCACAGCGATAGAGCAAGCGACACGAAAATGAGATATGTAATAATAAATAGCAAAGCAATGATAACGCTGGGCTATCAAAAGCCGGTGGTAATTATTGTATTATATTGTAAAACAACGTCATAAAAATAGGCGCAGATAATATTTATGGGCAATCTTATAAACATTGTTGTAAAATGGTAATGCTTGTTACAAAGTGCAACCATTTTCAAAACTTGAAATTTTGAGAACATTAAAATAATAATCGATCAACATGGAAAGCATTGGGGGAGGCCTATGTTCAGCAGTGGACGTCCTATGGCTGAAATGATGATGATGATGATGATGAAAATAATAATGTATGTTGGTACTCACTTTAAGGTGCAATAAAAATAATAACGGCGCCGTTGAAATTTCGTTTGGTGTAAAGAGAACAGTCACTTTAATTACCAAAACAATATCTGGATCAAAGCGGAATTGGATGTCCATTGACTCCATAACAATGCCAATTCGAAAATTTGTGTTGTGTAGAAACATGAATTATTATAAAAGTGCTGTATAATTAATACTTTCAATAATATTTATAGACCCATTTAATTTAGGTGTTGTGTTATTTAGCAGTTGATGAGCTCTACATAAATAAAATAATGAATTGGACCGTTGCCGCACTTGCCGTTATTCTTACAAGTGATTATATACAATTATAAATATAAATAACAAACCTAACGATGTGACTGCACGATTGTATAACTAAAAGCTAATTAATAAAGAAGAGTGCAGCTTACAACAAACGTTGAACATTAGCATACATTTAAATATAAATCGTCACAATACCCAATTAGGCCAAACATGGCAGAATTTACAATACAAGAAGCATTATTTATTCCATTATTTATTTGACAATATTTCATGTAATTCTATTAACAAAATAATTGTTAATGCAATCAACCGCTTTTACTAATCGCGAAACAATTATAAAAATAAAATAAATCTCAATAAAACAATTGTAGTTTTAAAACATAAAAAATAGATTGAAGTTATTACAATTTTAAGAAAGCGTTTACCGTTACAAAAATGTTTAAACCAACAAAGCATAAATGTAATCAAATAAAAGTACTAATTTAATTGCATAATGATTACACAGTAATAGTGGCGTATAAACATCTGACTACAATGTTTTTTATGCCATAAATTATTTAGTGTTTCGATTTATAGAGCCGTAAAATTTTACAATGCCAATATATTTTTAGAGGAAAACACGGAACTTAACAAAAAAGATTGTGTGATATCCGTCGCTTGAAAATAAATACAAATAACAGCTTTAGATAATTATTTAGATGCTAGTCGAGTGCTTAATAAAGTTCTTATTAGTGTAGAAATATTTAAACTATAAATTGCCCGGAACGAAAATAATTGATCAAAGAAATTTTGCGGTAGCCATTTTAGAAGATTTGACGTGAAATTAGCCGTTATGTACTTTTTAGAACATTACTACCTAATACTCATATAAATACTTGTGTACAAAAACTTTAGTTCATAATGCACGAAAGATATACACTAACATTTCAAAAAAATCGGTGATTAAATTAGAAAAGACAATAATCTTATAATTAACAATTGAAAAAAAAACAGTGTTGAATTTTAGTGACCAGTGAACGTAAATAATAAAATTGACCAAGTTGAAATAAAATATGGTTGTAAAAAAATATCCTTCACGTTTTTAATTAGACTACAAGTGTTATTGTAGTTTTTATGGCTCCACAAAAGACAATGCCGGAAATTGGCGTCTTTTTTTTTTCGCGCGGCCATCGACCTAACTTTGTTTTTTGATTACAAAATAGTGTAATAAACCAAACTTACTATGACATGTATACCTCTAAACTCAGTCTGAACTGAGTTACAAGCATTAGAAGTTTGATAATTTTCATACTAGATTTGCTTTTTGCGCGCAAAGTTTTGTAAGAAATTGCAACAAAATAGTGAGATTGTATGTGTAAACAAACAATACCATCCATTAAAGGCTCCAGACATCAATATGGAGCAGAATCAGCGCAATAAAAAAATAGCGCAATATTTTGTTGCAATTTCTTACAAAACTTGCGCACAAAAAGCAAATCTAGTATGAAAATCATCAAACTTCTAATGCTCGTAACTCAGTTCAGACTGAGTTTAGAGGTATACATGCCATATTAAGTTTGGTTTATTACACTATTTTGTAATCAAAAAACAAAGTTTGGTCGATGGCCGCGCGAAAAAAAAAAGACGCCACTTTCCATACTAAATCTGGCATTGCCATTTCTGATTACCTGGGATTACCTAAATTGGTACCTACACAAAATTATATTTGCACAAGTCTTGTCCATGCATTGTAAATGAGAGGCTATCGTGAGTTTTATGATGCCAGCGATAAGGTATCAATTTGTCTGCTAATGGCCTTTGTAATCTGTGATAATGCGCGTTTGGCAGTGGCCCACTAAATGAGTATTGATAACGTTCGAACACGAAAAATAACGTGTATTAGGCGAAAATTTCATTTTTATCAAATTTTGTATTACCTCAATGCTCAATGAAAAGGACGAAATAAAAATCAAGTAAAAATTAATTAAATTTTAACCAAAATGAATTTTTATTGTAGAAAAATAATACAATTATGCAGCAATCATTTTAAAGAGACTTAAAAGAATATTAAGACAAAACAAAATCAAGTTGTCACAAAATAGAAGGATTTTAAACTAAAGTTAGTGACAAAAAAAGTAAAAAAAAAACTTAAAAAGTAAATGAACTCTTGCAGTTGCTAATTAAAATATAAAATCAGTGCATAACACGAGGGATATTATTATTTTAAGGTTCCGTTAACATAATTTATTAAAAGTAATAAAATAATAACATTAAAAAATGTAATCAAAATAAAACTTAATCACAAAACGTGTGCTGGGATTAAGATTACGTGGCATTAAGACTATCGTAAAAATATAATATACATAAAGATATTTAAACCTTTTGCTATACAAAACACAACTAGATTAGTTTAAGTATTAGGTCAATAAATAAATGCGCTCTACATCTCTGGAAACTTTGAAATAAATTGCAACATCCTCAATTTTATTTTTACTTTTTAATAGTGTTAACCGAGTTATTTGATTTCAAACTACCCAAGTACATTTCTTTATCTTTAAAATGCCATAAAAAAACCGTGGGCCGATTTAAATTTTTCACTTTATGGTTTTTAAATGCAATCTGAACGGTATGTAAAATGCGCCTAAGTTATCAGGTCGCGTGTTTGCAATCCCCAGCGCTGTATTATAGAGAAAAAGTTACTTTTTACGTACGATAAAATTTTCTTAAGTGATATTAAAATTTGGCGAATTATACCGTTTTATTGGCCACTTATTTCGGATCGTAAACAGTGAAGACAGTGTTACGTAATTTACGAGGTTATTTTATCGTTACAAACGGCCGCGGGTACTTGAAAATTGTTACAGGAATAGCCGCATCCGTTTTAGAGCGCTTAAAATTTTATAAAGTGTCTATTTTATCGATTTTAAAGTCAAAAAGTTGGTTTTATGCGATATTTATCTAGTGCGCATCGATTGAAGCGACCTGATCAGTTTTTTTTATTGAATAGTTGAAATA